ATAAATATTATACTCTGAAATATTATAAACATAAGTTGGGGGTGGCACAGTGGGTTAAGCGCTGAGCTGCTGAACTTGCTGATCGAAAGGTCGCCGGTTTGAATCTGGGGAGCAGGGTGAGCTCCCGCTATTAGCCCCAGCTTCTGCCAACCTAGCAGTTCGAAAACATGCAAATGTGAGTAGATCAATAGGTACCACTCTGGTGAGACGGTAATGTCGCTCCATGCAGTGATGCTGGCCAAATGACATTGGAGGTGTCTATGGACAACACCGGCTCTTTGGCTTTGAAATGGAGATGAGCACCAACACCCGGAGTCAGACACAACTGGACTTAATGTCAGGGGAAACCTTTACCTTTCCCTTACACCGAACTATCCCTAAAAACACAATTCCCTTCTGATCTTGAAAGTTATGTAGTGTCAGCCCTGGTTAGAACTTAGATGGAAGACACTGGCATTCTAACTAGTTATGCGACTCCAGTGCATTTTATTGGGGTTGTTATTATTTATTGGTGTTGTCTTGTTATCGTGTGTATTTTGTTATTATGTACTTTTGTAGTGTTGCTTTTATTGCTCAGTTTTAGTTCTGTTGCACTCTGCTTCGAAATGGATTATTATTATTATTATTATTATTATTATTATTATTATTATTATTATTAGATACATAACAAGATTAGTAAACAGCAAAAAAAAAATTCACCATACTGGCTTTTGTATTTGATCACACGTCAGACACTTCCCAAGTGTCTAGGACTGTGTGATATATTGACAAATAATATACGCAGATCCGAGTAGGGTGGACTTTTGCAGCTGACAGATGCAACGCCGATTGTTTTTAAGTGCAGGCCAAGGTCTTTAGGCACTGCACCCAGTGTACTGATCACCAATATGATGATGATGATGGTGATTATTATTATTATTGGGTTGCTGTGACTTGTAACTGGAGTATTCTGGGCTGTATGGCCATGTTGCGGAAGCATTCTCTCCTGACGTTTCACCCACATCTATGGCAGGCATCCTCAGAGGTTGTGAGGTCTGTTGGAAACTAGGCAAGTGTGGTTTATATATCTGTGGAATAATGTCCAAGTTGGGAAAAAGAACTCTTGTCTGTTGGAGGCATGTGTGAATGTTGCAATTGGCCACCTTGGTTAGCACTGAATGGCCTTGCAGCTTCAAAGCTTGGCTTCTTCCTGCCTGGGGAAATCTTTTGTTTTAACTGGCCCCGATTGTTTCCTGTCTGGAATTCCCCTGTTATTTGAGTGTTGCTCTTTATTTTCTGTCCTGACTTTAGAGTTTTTAAATACTTTTCGCCAGGTTGTGTTCATTTTCATGGTTCTGAACAAAGGATTCCCCCACTTCCCAACAAAGGATTCCCCCACGCAGGAAGCAGCCAAGCTTTGAAGCTGCAAGACCATTCACTGCTAATCAAGCTGGCCAATTGCAACATTCACATTTGCCTCCAACAGACAAGAGTTCTTTCTCCTACCCTGGACATTATTCCGCAGGGATATAAACCCAACTTGCTTAGTTTCCTCAATCTCTGAGGATGACTGTCCTGGATTTGGGCGAAACGTCAGAAGAGAATGCTTTTGAAACATGGCCAGACAGCCTGGAAAATTCCAGCCATGAAAACCTTCATTAACATATTGTTGTTGTTGTTGTTACTCTATGTAACACCATTTTTGTTGCTGGTTCTATCATAAAAACATGCAAAAAATATTAAACTGGTTACTAGTAACTCCAGTTATGAGTCCAGAAGGGGAAGAAGAAAAGCATCTCCTCAGGCACCAGGTTCTCTTTGCCAAAAGGGAGGGAAATATAAATATTGCACCACTTGTCCCAACATTTCCTGGCCAGGAAGGAAAGAAGAAACACAGTCCCCAAGGTGTTTGGAAAATGTGAACACCTCTTTGCCAAGCAAGGAGGGAAAGAAGAATCCATCAAGGCAGCTTTTTGCCAGGATGGAAGGGAACCTCTTCTTGCTAACTGGCACCTTTCCCCCCAAAATGAAGGCAGAAGAGCATCCTTGAAATTACATGAAAGGAGATTCCACCTGGACATGAGGAAGAAGTTCCTAATTGTGAGAGCTGTTTAGCAGTGGAACTCTCTGCCTCAGAGAGTGGTGGAGGCTCCTCCTTTGGAGGCTTTGAAACAGAGGTTGGATGGCCATCTGTCGAGGGTGCTTTGAATGCGATCTTCCTGCTTCTTGGCAGAATGGAGTTGGACTGGATTGCCCACAAGGTCTAATTTATTATTATTATTATTATTATTATTATTATTATTATTATTATTATTATTAGAAGCACAACAAGACAAGAGTCCTTTGTCCCACCCTGGTCATTCCCCAGATACATAAACCCATTTTCCTAGTTCCAACAGACCTCACTACCTCTGAGTATGCTTGCCATAGATGCAGGCGAAACGTCAGGAGAGAATGCCTCTAGAACATGGCCATATAGCCTGAAAAAAACTATAACAACACAAGATGAGTCCACAGCAGACACTCTGCTGGCTGTTGTATTGGATCACACATCGGACACTTCCCAAGTGTCTAGGACTGTGTGATGTATTGGCGAATAATATGTAAGGTGGCCCTTTTGCAGCTGGCAGATGGTAATTTTGTCAGCACCTATTGTGTTTAAGTGCAGGCCAAGGTCTTTAGGCACTGCACCCAGTGTGCAGATCACCAATGGGACCACCTTGACTGGCTTGTGCCAGAGTCTTTGCAGTTCGATCTTTAAATCCTCATTATTATTATTATTATTATTATTATTATTATTATTATTATTATTACCTCCAAACAAAGGATTCTCCCAGGCAGAAAGAAGCCAGGGTTTGAAGCTGTAAGGCCATTCAATGCTAATCAAGCTGGCCAATGGCAACATTCACACTTGCCTCCAACAGACAAGAGTTCCTTCTCCCACCCTGGACATCCTTCCAGATATACACAATCCACGTGCCTCATTTCCAACAGATCTCTATGCAGATACCCTCACCGATTGACTTTGCATCTGCAAGGCCATTCGATGCTAATCAAGGTGGCCAATGGCAACATTCACACTTGCCTCCAACAGACAAGAGTTATTACTTTATCCCACCTCGGATATCATTCCATACACACACACACACAGAGTCCACTTGCCTTGTTTCCAACAGACCTCTACGCAGATCCCCTCACTGATTGACTTTGCATTTGCAAGGCCATTTGATGCTAATCAAGGTGGCTAGTGGCAACATTCACACTTGCCTCCAACGCACAAGAGTTATTTCTTTATCCCACCTTGGACATCATTCCATAAATATAAACAGTCCACTTGCCTTGTTTCCAACAGACTCTATGCAGATACCTTCACTGATTGACTTTGCAGTTGCCAGCAATGGCAACATTCACACTTTCCTCCAACAGACAAGAGTTCCTTCTCCAACCCGGGACATCCTTCCAAAGATACATATATACAGTCCACGTGCCTCGTTTCCAACAGACCTCTATGCAGATCCCCTCACTGATTGACTTTATTTCTTTATTTTTTACAGTATTGGTATATTGCTTTTCTCACAATTATACACAACAATTAGACATAAATTTTAAAAATACAAAAAAAATACTTTGCATCTGTAAGGCCATTCGATGCTAATCAAGGTGGCCAATGGCAACATTCACGCCTGCCTCCAACAGACAAGGGTTATTTCTTTATCCCACCTTGGACATCATTCCATATATATAAACAGTCCACTTGCCTTGTCTCCAACAGACTCTATGCAGATCCCCTCACTGATTGACTTTGCATCTACAAGGCCATTTGGTGCTAATCAAGGTGGCCAGTGACAACATTCACACCTGCCTCCAACACACAAGAGTTCCTTCTCCCACCCCAGATATCATTCCAGAGATATCCACTTGCCTCATTTCCAACAGAGCTCTATGCAGATACTCTCACTGATTAACTTTGCATTTGCAAGGCCATTTGATGCTAATCAAGGTGGCCAGTGGCAACATTCACACTTGCCTCCAACACACAAAAGGTCTTTTTCCTACTATGGACATCATTCCAGATATACACAGTACACTTGCCTAGTTTCCAACAGACCTCTACGCAGATACCCTCACTGGTTGACTTTGCTACTGCAAGGCCGTTCAATGCTAATCGAGGTAGCCAATGGCAACATTCACACCTGCCTCCAACAGACAAGAGTTCCATTTCCAACCTGGGACATCCTTCTTGAGATATATATATATATATATATATACAGTCCATGTGCCTCGTTTGCAACCGACCTCTATGCAGATACCCTCACTGACTGACTTTGCAGCTGCAAAGCCATTCAATGCCAATCAAGCTGGCCAATGGCAACATTCACACCAGCCTCCAACAGACAAGAGTTCCTTCTCCCACCCTGGACATAATTCCAGATATACAAGTACACTTGCCTAGTTTCCAACAGACTTCTATGCAGATACCCTCACTGACTGACTTTGCAAATGCAAGGCCATTCAATGCCAATCAAACTGGCCAATGGCAACATTGACACCTGCTTCCAACAGACAAGAGTTCCTTCTCCCACCCTGGACATAATTCCAGATATACACAGTCCATGTGTCTCATTTCCCACAGACCTCCATGCAAATCCCCTCACTGATTGACTTTGCAAATGCAAGGCCATTCAATGCCAATCAAGCTGGCCAATGACAACATTCACACTTGCCTCCAACACACAAGAGTTCCTTCTCCCACCCCGGACATAATTCCAGATATACACAGTCCACTTGCCTAGTTTCCAACAGATCCCCTCACTGATTGACTTTGCAGCTGCAAGGCTACTGAATGCCAACCAAGGTGGCCATCGACCACACAGAGAAGCCTCCTCTCAGTGCCATCCTGCCAGAAGAAGGGTCTCTGGGCAGTTCAGGGACAAGCAAAGGAGCATCACACACACACAGAGAGAGAGAGAGAGAGAGCTTCCCTTCTTCGCTCTTTCCCAGCCCAGGTTCCTCTTTCTCACCTCGGTACTGGAGGCTGGCTGCCAGGCGGAGGGTGACGGTGCCCACCAGGGGCTCTCCGGGGCTGTAGACCACGCGGCTCTCGCCCAGGCGGATCTCGAAGAGCTGCACCTTCCCCATGGTGGGCTTGGCGAGGGAAAGGGGGCGCAGGGAGCCGCAGAAGGCCAGGCCTGGCCCTCTCTCTCCTCCTCTTCTCCTGCTGCGCTTTTACGCACGGGAGGGAGAGGTCTTTCCTTCCTTCCTTCCTGCCCTTTTCCGCACCGCGGGAGGAAGGGGAAGGCTGGGATCCGCGGAAGGCGAGGTCTGGACCCTCAATGTCCTCCTTCCCTGCCTGCCTTTCCCTCTCTTCTCGTCCCAGGAGCAGAGGCTCCCCTGCTCTTCTTGGGGGTCTTCCTCTCTTCCCCTTTTTACGCACCGAGCTGTGTTGCGCTTTTACGCACGGAGGTGCCTTTCCTGCCCTTTTACGCACAGCCTTTCCGGGCCCTTCTACCTGGAAGGAACCCCGATCAGGCCACGCCCCCTCTCCTCCAAGCCCCGCCCCCTTGTCCCCGCCCCTCAGATTGGTAGCAGCTGAGCTGAGGGAGGGGCCAAGGAGAGCTGGCCAAGTGACGTCAAGACCAATCCAGAGGGATTGTTAGGACTTCAAATCCCATCATCTCCCTCCCTTCTTCAGGGGACAGCAATCATCATTGGGTTGTTGTGACTTTTCCGGGCTGTCTGGCCATGTTCCAGAAGCATTCTCTCCTGACATTTCGCCCACATCTACGGCAAATATACTAAGAAGTTGTGAGGTCTGTTGGAAACTAGGCAAGTGATGTCTAGGGTGGGAGAAAGAATTTTTGTCTGTTGGAGACAAGTTGGGAATGTTGTAGTTGGCCACCTTGGTTAGCATTGAATGGCCTTGCAGCTTCAAAGCTTGGCTGCTTCCTGATTGGGGACCAGCTAACACCTCCCAACCAAGGATTCCCCCAAGCAGAAAGCAGCCAGGCTTTGAAGCTGCAAAGCTATTCAATACTAACCAAGGTGGCCCAGTGCAACATTCACACTTGCCTCCAACGACCAAGAGCTCTTTCTCTGTATACACTCTGGGGGACAGATAACACCTCCCAACCAAGGATTCCCCCAGGCAGAAAGCAGCAAGGCTTTGGAGCAGCAAGGCTATTCAAAGCTAACCAAGGTGGCCCATGGCAACATTCACATTTGTCTCCAACAGACAAGAGCTCTTTCTCTTGAATCCCATCATTGCATTGTTGTGAGTTTTCCAGACTGTCTGGCCATGTTCCAGAAACATTCTCTCCTGACATTTCACCCACATCTATGGCAAACATACTCAGGGGTTGTGAGGTCTGTTGGAAAGTAGGCAAGTGATGCCCAGGGTGGAAGAAAGAACTCTTGTCAGTTGCAGACAAGTGGGAACGTTGCAGTTGTCCACCTTGATTAGCATTGAATGGCCTTGAAGCTTCAAAGCCTGGCTGCTTCCTGATTGGGGGCCAGCTAACACCTCCCAACCAAGGATTCCCCCAGGCAGAAAGCAGCCAAGAAGGCATCCTCAGAGGCTGTGAGGTCTGTTGGAAACTAGGCAAGTGATGCTCACAGTGGGAAAAACAATTCTTGTCTGTTGGAGACAAGTTGGGAAGATTGCAGTTGGCCATCTTGATTAGCATTGAATGGCCTTGCAGCTTCAAAGCCTGGCTGCTTCCAGCTTGGGGGCCAGATAACACCTGGATTCCCCCAGGAAGAAAGCAGCCAGGCTTTGAAGCTGCAAAGCCATTCAATGCTAACCAAGGTGGCCCATGGCAACATTCACACTTGCCTCCAACAGACAGAGCTCATTCTCTCGAATCCCATCATCTCCCTCCCTCATCATTGGGTTGTTGTGACTTTTCTGGGCTAAATGGCCATGTTCCAGAAGCATTCTCTCCTGACCTTTCACCCACATCTACGGCAGGCATCCTCACAGGTTGTGAGGTCTGTTGGAAACTAGGCAAGTGATGTCCAGTTTGAGAGAAAGAACTCTTATCCGTTGGAGACAAGTTGGGAATGTTGTAGTTGGCCGCCTTGATTAGCATCGAATGGCCTTGCAACTTCAAAGCCTGGCTGCTTCCTGCTTGGGGGCCAGCTAACACCTCCCAACCAAGGATTCCCCCAGGCAGATAGCAGCCAAGCAGGCATCCTTAGAGGCTGTGAGGCCTGTTGGAAACTAGGCAAGTGATGCCCACAGTGGGAGAAACAACTCTTGTCTGTTGGAGACAAGTTGGGAATATTTCAGTTGGCCACCTTGATTAGCATTGAATGGCCTTGCAGCTTCAAAGCTTGGCTGTTTCCAGCTTAGGGGCCAGATAACACCTGGATTTCCCCAGGCAGAAAGCGGCCAGGCTTTGTAGCTGCAAGGCTATTCAATGCTAACCAAGGTGGCCCATTACAACATTCACACTTGCCTCCAACAGACAAGAGCTCTTTCTCTCAAATTCCATCATCTACATCCCTCATCATTGCGTTGTGACTTTTCCGGACTGTCTGGTCATGTTCCAGAAGCATTCTCTCCTGACGTTTTGTCCACATCTACGGCAGGCATCCACAGAGGTTGTGAAGTCTGTTGGATACTAGGCAAGTGATGCCCAAGGTGGTAGAAAGAACTGTTGTCTGTTGGAGACAAGTTGGGAATGTTGTAGTTGGCCACCTTGGTTAGCATTGAATAGCCTTGCAACTTCAAAGTCCATCTGCTTCTTGCTTGGGGGGCAGCTAACACCTCCCAACCAAGGATTCCCCCAAGCAGAAAGTAGCCAGGCTTTGAAGCTGCAAAGCTATTGAATGCTAACCAAGGTGGCCCATGGCAACATTCACACTTGCCTCCAACAGACAAGAGCTCTTTCTCTGTATACAGTCTGGGGGCCAGATAACACCTCCCAACCAAGGATTCCCCGAGGCAGAAAGCAGCCAGGCTTTGAAGCTGCAAGGCTATTCAATGCCTATCAAAGTGGCCCATTGGAACATTCACATTTGCCTCCAAGAGACAAGAGCTCTTTCTCTCAAATCCCATAATCTCCCTCCCTCATCATTGGGTTGTTGTGACTTTTCTGGGCCAAATGGCCATGTTCTAGAAGCATTCTCTCCTGATCTTTAGCAGGCATCCTCAGAGGTTGTGAGATCTGTTGGAAGCTATGCAAGTGATGCCCAGGGTGGGAGAAAGGACTCTTGTCTGTTAGAGACAGTTTGGGAATGTTGCAGTTGGCCATCTTGATTAGCATTGAATGGCCTTGCAGCTTCAAAGTCTGCCTGCTTCCTGCTTGGGGGGCCAGCTAACACCTCCCAACCAAGGATTCCCCCAGGCAGAAAGCAGCCAGGCTTTGAAGCCTCAAAGCTATTCAATGCTAACCAAGGTGGCCCATTGCAACATTCATACTGCAAAGTCAATCTGTGAGGGTATCTGCAGAGAGGTCTGTTGGAAATGAGGCAAGTTTACTGTGAGACAAGTGGACTGTATCTCTGGAATGATACATTCCAGAGATACAGTCCACTTGCTTCACAGTCTTTTGGAGGCAAGTGTAAATGTTTCAATTGGTCACCTTGATTAGCATTGAATGGCCTTGCAGCTTCAAAACCTGGCTGCTTTTTGGCTGGGGGAATCCTTTGTTGGGAGGATTCTCTAACAACTCTGACAACCAGCATGTCAGACTACACAGAGAATCCATTGAAACCCACAAGCATGTGGACAATTTCAACAGAATCTGGTTACCAGTATTTTAAAGAAACCCTCCAAAATCAGGACAGTAAATAAAGAACAACTCTAAAAAAAAACCAGAGGAATTCCAGACAGGAAACGATTAGGGCCAGCTAACCCCCCAACCAATGATTTCCCCAAGGTAGGAAGCAGCCAGGCTTTGTAGCTGCAAGGCCATTCAGTGCTAATCAAGCTGGTCAATTGTACTATTTACTTTTGACTCAAACATACAAGAGTTATTTCTCCCACCCCGGACATTATTCCACAGATATACAAGCCCAACTTGTCTCGTTTCCAAGGTCAATTTATCAAGTGCTGTGCTACTTGGCTGACTTCTCTGGTTGGATTAGTCTGCAGTATTAAAAAAAAACCCTCTAAAAATCAGGACAGTAAATAAAGAATGGCACTCAGAAAACAAGGGAATTCCAGACAGGAAACAATCAGAGCCAGCTAATTTATGTATTTATGTACCATATTTATATCCTGCGCTTCTCAACCCCGAAGGAGACTGAAGACAGCTTTACACATTGGCAACTATTCCATGCCTTAAAGCAATGTACAATTAAAATAAACATTTAAAGATAAAAGTTAAAACACATTAAAGCATATAAAAAATTACACCTAACACTTCCCAACAAAGGATTCCTCCCAGGCAGGAAGCAGCCAGGCTTTGAAGCTGGAAGGTTATTCAGTGCTAATCAAGGTGGCCATGGCAACATTCACACTTGCCTCCAACAGACAAGAGTTCTTTCTCCCACCCTGGACATTATTCCACAGGTACATAAACCTCACTTGCCTAGTTTCCAACAGACCTCACAACCTCTGAGGGTGCCTGCCATAGATGCAGGTGAAACAACAGGAGAGAATGCTTCTGGAACATGACCAGCAACCCAGTGATTCCGGCCATTTTTTTTTGGTCGTGTCAGGAACGACTTGAGAAACTGCAAGTCGCTTCTGGTGTGAGAGAATTGGCAGTCTGCAAGGACATTGCCCAGGGATGTCCAGATGAATTGATGTTTTTATCATCCTTGTGGGAGGCTTCTCTCATGTCCCCGCATGAGGAGCTGGAGCTGATAGAGGGAGCTCATCCGCCTCTCTCCGGATTCGAACCTGCAACCTGTCGGTCTTCAGTCCTGCTGGCACAGGGGTTTAACCCACTGTGCCACCGGGGGCTCCTGATTCCGGCGATTCTGGCCATGAAAGTCTTTGACAACACAAATCATCATCATCAGTATTTATTTATTTATTGTGTCAGGAGCAAACCAAACAGTTGTATTGCATTTTTTAACAAACAAGCAAAACAAAACAAAAAGTTTGCAAGCTTGGTAGCTGATTAGATGTCCTTTGACCAGTAGCTGGCCACTTGAGTGCCTCTGGTGTTACTATAAGAAGGTCCTCCATTGTGCATGTAGCAGGGCTCAGGTTGCATTGAAGCCTCATCATCATCATCATCATCATCATCATCATCATCATCAGTGAGATGAGTATAGTAAACCAAGTCTGTGGTGGGTATGATTAGCACCTCTAGAGCATTGGAGGACAACTCCTTGCATCTAAAGCTGGGGATGATGGGCAGAGTAGGTCAAAGTCTGTAGTGGGCATGATCAGCACCTGCAGAATGTTGACGACAACTCCCAGCATCTACAGACAGTGATGTATACCAGTTAGGATGTGGGAGTATGACACTGAAGACCAAGGTTCAAATCCCAGGTTGGCTATGGAGAACTTAGCAAGCCACATTCTCTCAGCCTCAGAGGAAGGCAAGTGCAAGTCCCATCGGATCCTTTGTTTTAGGGTTCAG